CCCACGCTGCGCTCTTCACTTTAATCCAAACACCAAACAAAAACACTCAACACACTTCATTATCAGAGGAGAGTTTAGCACTTTTCCAACTGCAGGAGCACAGCACAGTGGGAGAGCTGACTTACGTAAACATGTCCACACACCAGTACCCATATGAATGTCCTTTACATATTGACACAAGCAAACAAAAGATGTTACGGATACTTGTGGACCCTGCCACCTACACACATGGGTGGAACAGTACACAATCCTTCATAGAAGTGTGCCTCATGCTAAAGCAATACTTATAAAACACATACTGTTGCGTACTAAATGCACAACAAATTGAATTTAGCAATAAGCAAAATAAGCAGCGTAGGAATGTTGTTTATACGCTGACTGTTTATCTGTGGATAGAGCATCTATAAAGACACCTACACTGTATCATTATTAACTCCTGTCTGAAGAAGGAACTTGGTGTTCTCTGAGCTAGTGGAAAAAAACTGTATGTGCCATCTGTTCAATAAATGTGAGGCAAAGTGTCCTAAACTCACACTGAGCTCAGGTTTCCTTTTTTTAGCCTTTTTATTGCCTTTATTTGATAGATACAGCTGAAGACAGACAGGAAAGAGGGTAGAAAGAGAGGGGATGACACACAGCAAAGGCTGCAGATCTGATTCGAACCCTGGGCCACTGGAGCAAGGACTCAGCCTCGATACATATGCCAGCTCTACCCAATGAGCTAACCGGGCGCCCTGAGCTGAGGTTTCTGTTAGTGTTCATCAACAACAGAGGTGAAACCGCTTCCTAAAGTCAGCCAGAGGCAAACACCAGGAGCCTCTGCCTGCCAAACATATTTAACATTATGTCACTTTTTGGGAAGAATAATTAATGCTGGTCTAAACAGAAACATGTTAGTCTATGTTTGAATAGGATCTTTTTTATTTTTAATTACAGTTTATATCTTATTTATTGGAGGTTGGGGTAAACAATTACGTTTTCATGGATTATAATAAGCTACATTTACGTCTGAGTCAATAAATGTCAGAATGAACAAATGAATGAAGCAGCTGGCTACTTTGGTCATGCAATCGTAATGATAACGTAATAAATCCAGTTAATAAAGTGATATGTACTTGTGTCAGTTTGAAACATTTTTAGCACACATTGACTTAAATCCAAATTTTTAATACTGCAGCAAAGTGGGGAATTTATTCATTTGTTAACTTAATACTTGTTGCCCTCATAGATTGCATTAACCACATAAAGCCATATAGGAATGCTGGCCCCTGTAAGTTTTAAATTATGTGGGTGCATAAGTATCCATCCAAATAACCCACTGGCATGGCTCATATATATATATGGTGATTTTCATTAATTATATTTTCAGGTCCAAGCACTGTGGCAGGAACAAACAAACAACAACTCCAGTGTAACCACAAGGATAAATAGAGGAAAAATACAACGAAGGAGCTTCCAGAAATATCTCAAATACCCCACTTTCTGTGTGAGACACATGGGTAAAATATTCCCCATCTTGGTAATCAAGATGATTTCTTCTGGCAATATTAGGAAAAAATACTCTTCACTAGAGTATGTTATACATTATTAATTACTTTTAATTATTCAGCCCCTTAGAGACAACAAAGCAGTCCTGGAAAAAAAGTCAGACAAGCACTAAATGAATGAATTATTCTTTCCACAATGAAACGTATAGGTGGCAAATATCTATTACAACTAGGGACAGAAAGCATACTGACGAAAAACAGCAGTTTGCAGTATTCTAGCTGCGTGATTCAGAACTATGAGAAAACGACATGTTTCTTCAGAATGAATCAGTTCCCGTTGCTGTGTGATGACCGTGATGTCTGAGAAGGGCAGGAGCTTTTCATCGCCATGCCATGTTGGTGCTCACTGACTTGTACACTTTTGTTTGTCAGTTTGATGGTTTCATATGGTGGGGGTGACAGGGGTGGTATGACTGAAACATTGCTTGGAAGCTGGTTGCCACATGCTGGTATACTCTGAGGCAAAAGCAACAAATACACATTTTACAGGAAGTGAAAATGATTTTATGTAAGAAAAAATAAAATATATAAAATATTTATATTTATTGTTAAACATAAACATAAAAAATAAGTTCACAACTTCTCATTTATACTGACAGTGAATCATCTTTTGTGTAAATATGCTTTCTCAGAAGAAGTGGTCTCGATGGGCTCAACGTGTGCACGCAGAGTAGAAGGGTGTTAAACAGTCATCTTTCTGTGTATGTGCCCGAGGGGGCGATCATGTGGGCCACTGTAATCTGTTGGTCTCATCAGACCTGTGGTCATCTGTTGAGGTTAAAGGTCACTGTGAATGATGACAGCTCTGGCTTTCCAAAAGCCTCAGATCTGAGGTTGTGCTGATCTGGCTGAAAGGGAGGCTGCCTGGAATGAGACTTGGCTGTTGTTTTCAGTTGCTTGAGAAACACATGCGCATGTGTACATTAGACACATGCATATACATGTAATTATAAGGAAGCTGCTCGAGGCAGATCATGCACTAAAGCTGACCTATGTGCCTTTTAATCAGTGTATAGATGTGATATAGTTTAGTGGGAAAAACATGATTACTGCTGGGGATAATCCCATTCTATAAGACCTGGTGGCATACACATACAATTCTAAAGCACACACATACACACAAAAAATGTGCACACACAAACTGTAGTTGGTGTTATTCCTAGAAAGAGTAGATATTTGCTGGTATATCTACGCAACAGTATAGCAGCAGGTGGTAAATTCTCTATAACTACCTCCATATGATAATTTGCTGGTAATGATGGTAACATGAAAATAAAGTATTGTTGAAGCTGCAGCGATAAGTAAAGAGTAATAGGTATGATAGGGGAAATTACTTACTCATTACACTCACTATTAAACACTATGCTCTGCAGCAACATTTCTTAAAAAAAAAGTATTAGAGTAACTGATGTGCATTTGTGACTGCTACAGTTAGATAAAAGTATAATGTAGCACCATATTATGTATGCAAATGTCTTATATAAAAAGTCTTCAATGGAAGGTACAAAGTATAAAATTTGGATTAATAAATAAAATGTATTTAATTCTATTAAAGTGAATAAGAAAGGGTCAGCACAAAGCTGGCTTTTGTGTCTGCACACATTTTAACAGTTGGTTAGCTTTTATTTTAGTATTTACAATGTCATTATCTGTGAAATAAATAAAAAGCATATTCTGACCACCAAAATGATAACTATCTTAATTAAGTACTGCTGTTACTGCAATTCCTCATTGTGCTGAGGGAATTCACCCAACCCACTTACCTGCACTAACAGCTTACTGTAGCTTACTTCATGAACATGAACATCCATTGTTAAATGCAAAACACTGTAGCAGAAAACTGTTGGTTGTGATATCTTAATTTTAATATGGGTTGAAGTTACACCTCGTTCTATTTTATGACTATACACTGCTTGTGGGCTGCACCTCATCATCCAGTGGAGACTGGAGGAAGAGGAGATCAGACAGGTGATTCATGTTCTATTTCTCTCTAAACAATCACTTCACAAATTGTTTTCTGTATTCCATCAAAGCAGTAATGTCACTACTAATCTAATATTAAAAATCTTATCCAGTTCTATCATTCCAAATTTTAATGTTAATTGTGATGCACTGCAGCTGTCTTCTTGGGTAGCAACACTAATGAATGATGTTATTGCTGGACAGTATCGATAATTGAAAGATCAGGAATATTTGATAATTGGGAAACACATTTTTAATAGTTACTTTGATTAGTGACGAAGAACACAATACCGGTATTTAGCTAAATAATTGTGTTGTTGCATATTTGCAACCTTCCAGAATGAAGATTTCAGTACCTTTCTTCACCTTTCTTGATGTCAAATGAGGCATCAGCAACTTATTGAATAATATAAATAACACTGCTCTGTGTGTCTATGGCAAACTTCAACTTCGTACATGCCATAAGAAACTGTTTTACTTAACGAAAGCCAGTAGGAAAAACAGTACATGAATAGTCAGACAGCTGTATAGTCTGTGTCTTGCTTAGAGAGTTTTGAATCTGGTACATAAGCGGTGTATGTTGTGCAGTGCCAGGCTGTGTCATCTCAACCTGAAAGAACTACACTTTATCATCAGGCTTCCTACAGAAAGTTTCCCGCACTGTTATAAGATAACAAAAGGGGTAGAAATAAATCTCTCCTTCCTTAGTTTCATACTACTGTTCTGTTTCCAGGTCTGTGTCTCTGTCTCTTTCATTGTGTTGCCTCTTGTCTCCCCAAAATCCCAAATGCTTCACTTTCTGCAAACACTGAAACACCTATAGGATCTCCTTTCAGCGGTGCGCAAGAGCCTTGAAGTCTTTGTTGTGATTTAACAATGTTCGTCTGTGTGACCGTGTAAGTGTGTGTGAAAGACAGAGCGAGAGAGAGACAGGGGGAGAGTCTGGAGGCACTGTCTGTCCTGTGACCTGGATACAATGTGGACCCTGAGGAGTGTAGTTTTAGGAGCTGCCGATAGAAGCTGCACACTATGCAAACATGAAAACATAAACACACACGAACACGATTTGATAATCCATAACTTCAGATGCTTTGCCTATTGCTGACTGATAGCATCCAACAGTGAGTCAGTCTACAGTACAGTTACTCTCACACAACAGTAAGTGATGTGATAGACCCTTCTGACAGCAACGACGACAATTATTCAATAGAAAGAAAAGCTGGATAGTTAGTATGAGTGGCAGGAAAAAACCTATACGCCACTTAAAGAAATTAAAACTTCAAATTTAATCAATAGAAATCCCAAGTTAAGTACACATGCTAAAAAAAAACCTGACAATCAATGCGTCAAAACTGACACAAGCATCAGTTTTCTCAGATGGAGAGCACTGCATAATGACAAGCAACTTTAGAGTGAC